CTAAATGTAGCTTGACAAAGGATAGCTTCTCTATTCTTCCACTACCCAATTGACAAGGTTTGCCATACATAACTCTCATGCTCAGCTCTTCGCTGCTGAAGCTCATGAGTCATGCAGACACTATCGCTATAATAATCTAAATGTAGCTTGACAAAGGATAGCTTCTCTATTCTTCCACTACCCAATTGACAAGGTTTGCCATACATAACTCTCATGCTCAGCTCTTCGCTGCTGAAGCTCATGAGTCATGCAGACACTATCGCTATAATAATCTAAATGTAGCTTGACAAAGGATAGCTTCTCTATTCTTCCACTACCCAATTGACAAGGTTTGCCATACATAACTCTCATGCTCAGCTCTTCGCTGCTGAAGCTCATGAGTCATGCAGACACTATCGCTATAATAATCTAAATGTAGCTTGACAAAGGATAGCTTCTCTATTCTTCCACTACCCAATTGACAAGGTTTGCCATACATAACTCTCATGCTCAGCTCTTCACTGCTGAAGCTCATGAGTCATGCAGACACTATCACTATAATAATCTAAATGTAGCTTGACAAAGGATAGCTTCTCTATTCTTCCACTACCCAATTGACAAGGTTTGCCATACATAACTCTCATGCTCGGCTCTTCTCTGCTCAAGCTCATGAGTCATGCAGACACTATCACTCTGTCTCTGATTTTAGTCTACACTGCAATTGCAATCATAAATGAAATATACAAAAATGCCATTTCTATTATTTCACCGATATTAACTCACTAATCATAAAAAAATTAATCACTATCACTATAATAATCTGAAGTAGCTCGACAAAGGATAGCTTCTCTATTCTTCCACCATCCACTTGACGAGGTTTGCCATACATAACTCTCATGCTCGGCTCTTCTCTGCTCAAGCTCATGAGTCATGTAGACACTATCACGTCTAGGTACAGTACATTGCAATTGCATTGTAAATTAAATACAGTTACAATAAATCTTTAAAAACAAAAGATATCTTACCAAAAACCATTCATAATCTTTACCCTTAAAAACATTAATAAATTCTTCAAAAACTTAGCAGCTCAATTAACTTCGGTTGCTGAGAACTCAAGCTTTCGGTGTTATTTCCAAAGGAGCTACGAATCACACTGGATTTGCAAACATGCCGTCGATGATCACCAGAGACATCATGTGACTTCAGATTGCGGCGTCGTTGTCTCATCAATTCTCGCTCCAATATATAAAGCCTCTCGCGCAATTCATGAAAGAAAGAAAAACATATTTTAGACATGACTTGATCAAATCTCGAGTGAACTAAGGTTTAAATTCTGGTGTAATAACAAATCACCGTTAATGGTGGCTGACCTCAATGTTCTGAAAGCGATGACAGTTGGTCCAGCTTTAGTTTTAAACTTTCGACTTCGATCTTGGTTTTGACGTTCGTGTGAGGACACGACTTCGGTTTTATTGCATACCATTGCTGTTCCTTGTATCACGATAGACTCCCTTTGTTAATAGTATGGGGCTCCTAGGTGTTATGAGTGTTTGAAGTCTACCACTAGGCTCCGATCCGATTCTCTTCAGAACTTCCTCGTTTCTTTGTATTTGATGTTAACTTGTGGGCGTAACAAAACAATATGTTTTGTTGTAATCCCACTTCTGAGCTAAAACGCTCAGAAGGATGGTGATCTTAATTAAAACTCAGACTTCTTCAAAAATAATTTGTATTCACTTGTTTATATTGTTTTACAAAAATTAATCTGTTGCTGTCAAAAACAAAACCGCGCGAATGCCCGACAAGGATAGTGTTGCCACGTTCGAAAACTAAATCAATCCACAATATTACTAACAGGCATTATAGTGTTTGAAATACTTAGACAATATTGTTAGTCACAAATATAAATATAGTGAGCGATAAAATATGTGACTGTAACATGAGGAATTCATACACCATCATTTCATTGCATATCATACGTTGAATCGAATATAACACACCTGATAGTATTTGTGACCACATTCAATAATGGTACTTTGTATGAATAGCAAGAAACCATAACAATGTGGTTTGTGGTCATCATTCAGTTATGCTATCTCTTTAAATCTGTTATGCTGATATAGATTATATAATAAGTATGATAAATATTAGCCTAACCATTGCGGTTAGTAAACTTAAATAATTGTAGAATAAATATGAATTAGCATACCTAATGTTTAAGTTCAAGTAATGTCTAATTTTATCCTTTCTAACAATGTTTGAAGGGGGTTTGTATGTTTGTGTCATTTTTGTTGTCAGTTCCTGACATCAATAAGGTAATGTATGTACCTAAAACTAATTATTTATTATTGAAGTTTTCAACTTTCGTAATACTTGACTGTTACAAATGTAGTAACATATCTGTTAAAATTTATTTGAAAATAGTTGTCGTATGCTTGACTTTTGTCCAGTTAATTAACGTGGGTGCTTGTCTTAAAGTAGGGTAATATGTATTTAGTGATCATGACCCACAACAATACTGTTAGCAGGTTTTCTTAAATTATATTTTTTTGTTAGTAGGTACATATGCTAAATGCTGTATTAAGTCAAATAACAAAGGAAATAGTGTTACATAAAAAACTGTTTTTAATGTCCCATAAAATATAACGACTACAAAATAAGTCTAAGTTTATTTAAATGCGAAACGGAAACCATTTGTAGTTATAATTTTAAATTGATGCAAAGCAAATGTTTTATGAGATCTTTACTACCTATTTAATAATTAAAATATGTGGAACATATATTCAAATCATGTGTCGACTAGACGTGTCTTAAATGTGTGTCGATAATAAGTGTGGAAAGTAGACCCTAATATAGATTTAGGGTAACCGTTTTTAGATAAAATAACCTACATAAAATATTTTTACGTACTTAAATGTAGCAATGTCATAGATAGATATAACATATATTAAATTACAAAATGTGCGAACTTAATTCAACTATACATCAGCCTGAAACCTGTGTTAACTGCTACGAGTAGAAGATTCAATTGTAATTTATCTAGGGACTTTTTCGAATTCCCTTTCCTTCGAATGAAGTATGAATACTTCAAACATTGAATTTAGTTTAGATATTGTATTCATTCATAACATAACATCACGCCTTTTATCCCCGAAGGGGTAGCAGGTGCACATTACGGCACTTAATGCCACTGTACAATGTAACACCCTTGTTTCACTATTTATGTTATGATTCCCATGTAATAGGGAGTGAGTCTATTGTCGTATACTGGGCACAATTCCAGGCTTCGTGCTGCTACTGATTTTTTTTTAAAACCCAGTAGTACTTTGCCCGACCCGGGAATCGAACCCGAGACCCCTTGCCCGGCAGTCGCACTTGCGACCACTCGGCCAACTAAGCAGTCATTATAGAATATCCTTTCGTCGATCAAACTATCAACGGATAGTTAAAGAAAACGTTTTTATCACTAACATGAAACTTTTACATATTTACTAAATAAACTTTTATTTTTCAATCATTGTTAACATGACCGTCACTCCTACGCAACCTTCACACGTGAGACTTGCTAATAGGTAACCTATAATGAAACCTAACATAAAAGTTTCTTGTCAAATGTAGTAATTCGATTTATAGACACTAATTTTGAAATAGTCTTTTCGAACACAAAGATGAAAGAACGTGTTGATAAATAATATTGCGTAATATACAATTTTTAAAGTTGTTACCTAAAATTGCTTTGATGTGAATACTAGTTGGAGTACTGGAATTATTTTATCCTATACTGTATTTAATGAAGTTTGTGGGACATAAATTAAATTCATCACTTAGGTATACAAGCTTTTAGCATGCTTGGAGCATTGATAATTTTTTGCCTTTAAAACTACTTGGTCATCTCGAAAAATCTTCGCAATAAATTGTAAAACCATTCTTGATTAGATATTTATACTTGCGTACCTACTGTCTTATAATGAGACGACCTTGTATTACCGGTTTCACAAAACCAGCAAAACTATTGTATTTTTAATGTTTTCGAGACATCTTTTTATTGGAATTATTGCATAAAATTATCGTTATACAAACATGTTATGGAGTTGTGTTAATAGAAATAGATAAACGAGATCCGAGATAGGTATATTTTTATCGTTACAAGAAAGTGAAGATAACGAAAGTTATTTAGATTTATAATGTATTAATGTGCCAGTCGGTTATTAGGATAGCTAAGAAACTGATTAGTAAATGAACTGTTGTAGTATTTTTATTGAAATGGAAACTAAGCACATAATTCGATGTATATTTAGTATACCGACCTTTTTATCCGACCGATTATAATCTAGGGGAAGCCAGACACAATTGAAATGTTTAAACCGAATGACCGAATAATGATTTGCTGAACCCAAAAATTACACCCAGACCTACGTAGAAATCCAATATAGAGGTACGACACAGCCGAATCGGTTCATTAAAAACTTAAATATATTTATTCAAAAATATACAATGATGGCCTTATTGAGTATTTTCAAGGGAAATAATGTTGGGTGTTTATTAGAAAGAAATTATTATTTTATGCTTTCAGGCTGCAAATTGTGGAACCTGATACTCTATATCCTGTTAGAAAGTATCCATAATATACATGTAAATACAGAGTGTGCAAATTGTTCTAAACAGATACATGTGCAAAAATATAAGATATAGAATTTATGAGCGATATTCTATATAGGGTCGATATTCTAAAAAGCCGGCTTAAAAGTTTATAATGAATTCGCTGCTGACAGCCCCATCGCACCCAGAGGCGAAGAACTAACTGAGGGCCGATTAAACGGTGATGCAGAAAATATCACGCAAGCGCATTGACTACAGTAGGCACGCACATATTTTGTCGAATTTATTATGACGTGCCAAATGGTGCAATAGCATCCAGAGGTGGTAGGCGGTGTAGTGACCCGTCCGTATATATACCGATAACAGTGTTAGATCAACATTGTCTAGTGCCTTCACCGACAAACAAACACCAACAAACAAACATGAAAACCATTGTAAGTGTTGTGATAGTGCATTCCTTCAACTATTGGATACCCTTACGAAAGTGCCTCGTGATCAAAGTGTTGTGACCACAAAAACTGAGATTTTCATATCAAAAGATCAAAATCAAACGTTCCACCCACCCTTAATTGTATCTAAATATTCAGTGGTGTTCAAAATATTTACAGTACTTCGCTTGTTACAGGTCTTCCTCGGTTTCTTGGCGGTTGCCCTTGCCGCTCCCCAAGCTCCCACTGAACCCATCCCCATTCTGAAGCAAGAGAGCGAGATCAACCCCGATGGCTCTTACCAATGGTCGTACGAAACCGGCAACGGTATTGCTGCTGACGAGAAAGGAGCCCTGAAGAACATCGGTGCTGAAGAGCCTGCCCTGCAGGTCGAGGGCCAGTTCTCCTACCCCAGCGAAGACGGTGGCAACATCCAGCTCACATACGTTGCCAACGAGAATGGATTCCAGCCCCAGGGTGCCCACCTCCCCACTCCCCACCCTATCCCTGAGGCCATCCAGCGCGCTCTGGCTTACCTCGCCACCGCCTCTCCCCAACCTGAAAACTAATTTCATGTTTGAACCTTAGGTTAAGCACTATTCAATGTAATTTAACTTATAAAGTATTCCTTAATATTTCACTAGACAAGGTCTAATGTAAATATTATGTAATATTTTGAGCCTACTAGAAACTTCCTATTTTATACCTTTTTATTTTGTACATAAAACTGTTTTGTATGATGTAAATATAAAAAATTAAGAAAAACTTATTGCATTTTCTCTAAACCCTTAGCAAACCTTACTTTTACACCACATACATACACTTCATACAAAGATGCACAACTATTTTTCCTTACAAACTAAAAATACTAAAGATAATAAGCACAAAAATAACCACAAACAAAATATATCCTCTATTTGAAGCCGACTGAAAGTAATTATCACACAAATAAACGCTTCTTTTTTAACACAAATAAAAGCTAAAAACAACCTATTGTTGAATATTTCACTAAATGTAAAAAAAGAATGGAAAATTAGAAACCTAAGTGCATTAGGCTCCTCAAAACTATTAAATATTATAAATTTATTGTCATACCCAAGTAGGTCAAGGTTCCTTTACATTCGTTTGACGTAGTCTCATGTCTAATAAATAATTCTAATGATACCCCTTGATTACTAAAAATGCAAAAATTATGCATTTAAGTACATATTATATTATTTTTACATGAATTAATTCATGAAATACATTTGTAGGCAGAAACCAGCAATTCCTTGGTAAGTAGGCAGCTCCCTTGTCAGTGACCTAACAGTAATCTCCAAACCGTTTGCGAAGTTTAGGGATTATGAATAACATCTCGTAATAGGGAAAACTTTGCTTAGCAGTTTTCTGGTCCGGCTGATGAAAAAATGCTTAAATAATCAACTGGCTTCCTTCACGTTCATATGTTACATACTTATACACCGAATCGATGGCATGTTATTAAAATTTCTTCTTAATGTGAGAAAAGACTTTTATCCTCCGGTAGGCCAGTTATAGACTGATGATGATAACAATAATAGGTATTAATGAAAAATATACGTACAAAAATTAATCAAAGACTCGTTGGCCGAGTTGGTAGCAAGCGCGACTGCCCGGCAAGGGGTCTCGGGTTCGATTCCCGGGTCGGGCAAAGTATTACTGGGTTTTTATAAATTCTCAGTAGTAGCACGGAGTCTGGAATTGTGCCCGGTATATGGCAATACGCTCACCCTCTATTACATGGGACTTATAACATAAATAGTGAAAAATGGGTGTTACATTATACAGTGGCATAATGTGCACCTCTACCCCTTCAGAGATAAAAGGCGTAATATTATGATACGTTAAAAATCAATCTATAAATATAAAGCTATGTGTTTTTTTTTCAAAAGTTGGTTAAGATTGTCGTTTCTTTAGAAAATATTTGGGCGAGGCATTTGTTACGTTATGTATGTATGCATGTTACAAATACGAGTAACTGCAGATGGAAAATTTTTGGAGACCCAAAAATGTCACCTTTTTAATGAAATTGGTGTTATTAGTAATAAGTTAACTAGTAATATCTATAACTTGTTAAAGAAATATCGAACAAGTAAATGTCGTAATCTGGAATGGTAAGATGAAGTAGATAGAGATCAAACGAGTATTATGTTTGTTAACACGTTACCAAGCGCCCTAACTGCCATGCGTGGGTAACCCTGAGAGTTTTGACATCGCGTTGTTGTATCAATAAACCTATAATTAAGTTTTAAAAACAGGTAAGGCGGGTTGAAACGTGATTAGGCAATACAAAGCCGATAACATATACTAATTACAATAATAAACAAGAGTTTGTGTTATGTGTACTTCACCTACATTTACGAAATCAGTTAAATAGTACACCAGATGCACCGACTTTGCTTCATAAAGTATATGCAACTAAAATATTAGTACAGTAATTTAGTTGTTCACGCTTCATTATGCGAAAATCATTGAAACGACGTAAGAGCATATTGCTTCTTTAAGAGAATTACTTTTTACATGTGATGTCGAAACTTTTGATGTATGCAAAGCCTTCTTAATCGGAAATTACTTGATAACATATGCGTGGAGAAATATTCAAGGATGCGGCCTTTGTTCGTTCATGGTTTTTATAATTTTGGTTATTATAGAAAGTTTTGACCTTAAGTGAATGGTTGAGATGTTTGATTAGTTAATTGCTTTTTCATCGTTGACAACGTAAATCACTTAGAAAAAGAAAATCCAATTTTACATAATAATGTTCAAAAGGAAATTGTCGCTAGTCACTCTTTAAATGTTATTTTTATTGCCGTTCGTAATACTAATATAGTAAAAGCTATTTTATTCCCTTTATTTTCTGCAGATGATATGCGTCAGTACAGCAGACGCCGCAAAAACATGTGCATGTTCGAAATATCTGTCTGTCAATCACATAAATATAGACTATCCAATCGTGGAAACCACTAATTGGCTTCTTGTTGCATACCACATTCTATTTAATCAAATTGTAATTATTGGTTTTCCAAATGTATAAATAAAATAAATAACTTGAATCCTCGGGGTAACTAAGAACAACCTTATCCCGACCACTATCTTCCTTATTAGGAACGCATTTCCAACAAATTGAAATGATATATTATTATATTATGATATTCTCTTGACCGCTTAATGATTTTATAAGGCTCCATCTAGCGACTCATGAGTGAACACGTAAGTATTTGAATTCATTTGAATATCGAATATCTTATTAATACCAACTTTGTCATTTAAAATGTAAAGTCGAGATTCTATTTTACAATTTCATAGGTCAGTAGGAAGATGGCGTTGTTTATAAGATCATGTTTTCATTGAAGCTATGCTAAGAACAACCAATCATAAAGCTGCTATACAATATGTAGCTGTACAAAAAACTATTTGACTGAGATAATTTTGTTATCAAAAAGCGTAGTCATGATGATTTTGAGAAATAAAGGTAGTTTAAAATTACGTTCATTTTTAAAAATAGAGAATTCATATATCACTCGAAAGTGACGCTCACATAATTATTTGTAATTATAAAGAGCATTTTAAAAATTTGGACTATTGTAGTCAAGGTCTGAATTCGTGCGGATCTTTAGCCACTTGATACTCAGTGAAATCATTGACACTGGCAAAACCCATCTGCTAAATATCAGTCGTGATGCTATGTGGCAATCCGACTGATTTTGCATAGCGATAGAACTCTTGCTACTACCATTTTCAGAGCCATCAATCATTTTTGTAAATTGATGGACAAGTGACAATCAGCATTTTTAGCGAACATTGTGACATTGTTTTGTAACACGTCTTCTGCTAGACGTGGTCTTTTACTATCATCGTTATGTCATGCATTCTTTGTACATGATATCTATAGGTATGTATATTTATTGTGCAAAGTAGTAATCTTCAGTTCAAAGTCCCCAAAAATGAACTCAAACCATCCATACCATCAGATTTTTTTCAATATCACTACATAGTATAAAACAAAGTCGCTATACACCGTCTGTCTGTCCCTATGTATGCTTAGATCTTTAAAACTACACAACGGATTTTTATGCAGTTTTTTAAATATATAGAGTGATTCTTAAGGAAGGTTTATATGTATAAAACATGCATATTGCACCCGTGCGAAGCCAGGGTGGGTTGCTAGTTTTTTATAAAATGTCAATTATACCTTTCGGTTTACTTACCTATCTATAATTCTAGTTCAGGATTGAAATACTCCACGCCCAGGTAACTTTAAACGAATTGTACAACCTAGGTAATTTCTAAGCTTAAATTCGAATTCGAGTATTTTAATCAGGGCACGATGGTATACATTCATGTATTTTTAAAGAATTGCAGCACAATCTACCATTTACGAAACTACATCTGCAAATCTTATTACCAATATAATGTTTCTTTTAGCTGCAATAATTGGCAATGGTGTCTGCTTAGTGTCAATGCATAGTGTACTATTAACCTATCATAGTCTCGTGCTTGAACCATTATTGCGATACGTTCAAAGTTCTTAGAAAGGTGAAAGGTGAAGTGACTTTGCAAGCGGCTATTTATAACTGGGAGGGAGGGGGGATGTGACCACGTCAGCCATCTTCCAGGTCAAGGTGTCGCTTATATACTGCATTCTTGAATTTCCGTCGTGTTTCCTGGAACTTTCTTGAACTTGCTTGAAGATGACTTACTAAGCCGTAGCTTCGGGAGTTTTATATGTGACAGTTTTTAAGACTTTATGAAGGGAAAGTACTTACGGAGGATTTTACTGCATTGTATGAATGTACAGATTGGGAATATGATGTAAGAAAGTTCCAGAAGCTTTGTGTATTTGTTCAATGATCGAAATTATAAGACAGGCGTCTTAATAATAATTCTTGCAGGTGCTAAATTAAGTCGATATAAATATGTTTGTCACCTATCACATAATATTTATATTAGACTGATGTTTTTTTAATATTGTTCGATCAAGTTTTTTGTTAGGTAGAAAACATTATTTTTAAGTAAACTGGTTTAATATATTCAAGTAAAGCGCTATTCTGGAAGAGTTAATCTGTTTAAATATATAATTGGACTTTTATATACACGTGGCCTGCTAATGAGTGTATTCACCCTCCTATTTTTTAGATTTTTTTTATTACAATTATGTATGTTTAAATCTAGCTTCTGTAAAACACGCAGTGCTTTAAAGATGCGTAAAAGTAGGCATATGACTGAATAAAACATATTTCCCTCAAAATATTTTATTTATTTTATACATGCAAAACCTGCCGCCTGTCTTCCATGGGGGTAAGCAGATAATAGTCTCTGCGTTCCATAGTACGCCAATTGCTACGATTCTTCCATACCTCTTTAGTTTCATCAACAGTCATAGGTCTTTTCATGTTTTAATATATTAAAATATCTTTTAAGATAGTAAAACTAACCTACTTTGGAATAAATTAATTGTGGGAATAATACTAGATAACCAAACCAAACACCCAAAAATAAGATGTTACACGTTACATACTAATACGAATTATTTTTAGAAACTAATTAATAT